CTTCCTCTAGTCGAGTTCTGATCATCAAGCCATCGAGCGAGGTTAAATGGGTACTATCTGCAAGTTTGGACATTCTTGCGCACCTCCCCCCATTTCATATCAGCTGGATGGTTCACTTTGAGCTGTAGTCCCCAGTTGCTAGGTCAGTGTCCATGGGCTCAGGGATTCCCATATCTCTGCAAACTTTGAACCAACCAGCCCTTCCTCTTCTCTCTCTCATCTCAAGATCGACAGGATTCTATGGAACATGGACAAGCTCAGCCCATGTCTTCATCACTGCCTTTACCCCACATCCACTCACCAACGCGGTCACCAGTGAGCTTACATGCCTGCTCATGTATTCCCTTTGAGTTTCAGTCTTAGGGTTTGTCCTGAAGGGATTTGATGGTTTACCTTAATGGCTACCAGGTGAACAGCTTGCTTGTTCTTGCAATAGCCAAGCAGTCTGCTCACCTCCCCACCCCCACCCCCCGTGTTGGTCTTTCTTTCAAGAAATAGCTTCTGTTCCTCTATCTGCTCCAGGCTGGTCTGCTTGTCCTTTCAAGTGGGAATGTCCCAGCTTGAAATGTTCTGGATTGGGCTCAGGATTTCATCTAAGGCTTTACATACTACAAGGATTCCCCAAGAAGCCTTTTCCCTGCACAAGTTCTAGAACCCCTTTTAGGTATTCCATTTATAAGCTGAATATGAGCTTACAAGCTGTCTGTAATCATATTTCCTGATACTCCTTTCTATCCCAATAGTACACAAGGAAAATCAATATTCATAATACAACCAATCACCTTAACATTGTTTCCCCTCTTTTGCCCATTCAGATTATGCTTCGATCCCTGTGTCACAAAGCTCTGTTGAGAACAACTCAGTTATTTTTTTCCCCTTATAAATTATTTTAATCTTTTGCTTGGCTGCCCAAATTCTCTTTCTTTCTTTTTAATTTTGATGTTGATCATTGTGGGTAAGTTTGGTTGCTGGGTCTTTTCTATATGAATGTTAAAGTCACGTTTTATTTTAGCACTGTTTCCTTGAGCAATATATTTAAATTTTACTCTCTTCCAATGTGCCTTCTTCTGAGACTCCATTATGTATACATTGGATCTTCTTTGCTGCTTTTTTGATTTTTGAAATTTTTTCATTGTGAATTGACTGAACATGTACTGAGCAGATCTTCAGTTTTACATGAATCAGCTTTACAGTTTTTGCATTTTACATGTGCTTCGTTTCAGCTCAATGATTGCAATCCCCTCCTGTAACAAGAGTTGTCCCATGGCTTCCCTGTGATTCATTTTTCCACTCTCCTTCCCAACCCTTACGAACTTTGTCCTTAGGTAAATGTTGTCCTTTTATCTTGAATGGTAGATCATACCAGGGTGAGCATGCCTTACTAATGTTGTCATCCCCTCTATATACCTGTCTATCACCTGGCTGAAAATTGAGCCATGAAAGCGAGTTTAGTTTGACCTGAAGGGTGGCCACGGGCCATGGACTTGGGGTCTTCCCTTTGCTGCTTTTTTTATGTCTATCATTTTCCTTCTGATTCCTGTCATGCTTTCTACTTCCCTTTTTTCCCCACTCATTTTTCTCACAGTGATCTTTCTTGTTGTGTTTTTTTCTTTCTTTTCCTTCCTGAGTTCTACCAATTTACATTTAGCTCTTCCTTACTGTTTTGACATTGCTTCCAAAGTTATTTTTTGTGATTTTGTTTCATAGAAGTGTTTGCTTTATTCAAAATTCTTGTCTTAGGATCTTATTCATTTAACTGAAGAATGAAATCTGACTATGTACTGTGAATATGTATTGGGATTTATTTTTACTCTCTTATTCTGTGTTTGCTACTGTCATTTACTCTGTCGATAATCATTTCCTTTTTTCAATTAGTTTCAAATATATGCATTCTACTTCTGTTCATTTCACAGCGACTCTGACATTTTACATGCTTTGTCATTTTCTATCTTCCACACACATGTACTGTTTTTATTCTGAGGTTTTTGAGAGTCAGTATGGCCCTTAATCTGAAGAAGTATCGTTAACAATGTTTCTAGGTCTTTCAAAGAAGTTTGGAACCAGAGGGTCCCTAATGTACGCAGGTCTCTCAGTGCTAGCTCCCGCCCAGGTCACACTCTAGGTCCAGAGGCGAGGATCGTTTTAGGTCCCCAGAGGAGCTGTGGTCATTGCTCACCTACAGCATCCTATGGATTCTCTGAGTTAGCCTCTGAGATCTGTTTCACCCATTCATTTATTATTCATTCACTCACTCAACAAACATTCAAATATTAATTGAAAAAAAATATTAATTGAGCATCTTCTGTGAGCTGGGCATTGTCTGGGCACTAAGGAGACAGAAGTGCAGCCAGCAGCCCAAGAGTTGCTCCCCAGCACTCAACGAGGCAGACTGGGCAGAGGGAAGGTAGGCCAGATGCCAGGGGGTGACTGGTCTGCATAGCCTATCCGGCATGGCCTGTGTGTCACTTGTGTAAACAGTAAGTGTCCCTGTGTGTGGATGTAATCACATGTACTCTGGTCCTGTGTCTGCAGCTTTGATCCCCCTGGTCCCATGTCAGCTGGTATGTCCTGTGAAGTGTTTGTCACCTTCAAACCTATGGTGAGTGCTTTGGCCCCAAAATCAGGAGGTATGGAATGAGGTTGTTCTCATGCTCTTCTGTGGGGTGGTGGATGAACTCAGGTCCTCAAATCCCTGAGGAACTGCTGGGTCCTCAGATCTCTGGAATGAGGAACACTGGAATGAAGGAAGGAGCATTCCATATCTCAAGAAGGCCACCTGGGCCTCTACCCAGGAACAGTCACGTGTCTGTGTGGTTCTGAACATCATTACTGTGCTACCCTCAGTCCCCCGGCTGTGGGGAGGGTCCAGGACTTACCTTCCATACGCTTAGATCCACACCTGAGTAGGTGGCCCTCCTGAACACCTTCTGCTGACCTCCTCCTTGGGGTTTGTGGGCAGCAGGTAGGCCCAGTCAAACTGTGGCTGTGTAACACACGTGGTGTATGCAGCTGTGGAGTAATGAAAATTTATGATAGTTGGAATTGCTTTTTTATTTAGGTAAATAAAGATCTGGAAGGAAATGTCACGTTTTTGGCTCAGACTGGTGGATTTTCTGTTCCACTGAAATGTTCAACCAAGAAATGTTCTGTGAGTTCCAAAATATCTGAAGTGGGGTTCCTTGGGACACCCTGATCCCATGAGGAGAGTATGTATCCTGTGTGCATGGCTGGGCTGGGCTGGGCTGGGGTGTGGACGTGGTGGCGGCATTGCACTCTGGGGGGAATGCTTATATGTGTGTACACACGCCCATGGTGAGGGTGGTATGCTCCCATGTGGGGGGAGACAAGCAGGAGTGAAACTTGGGTCTTCTGGCCCATCCTTAAGTGGGTGGCAGATAAGCACTCAAATGACACTGAAAGAATGTGGCCAGAGCCCAATCTGTGTCCCTGGACGTCAGGACCCTCTAGTCAGAGACCCTAGGACTCCTCAGAGAAGAACGTGCTTCTTGTTCCCATAAGTCTTTTTATTTTTCTTTATCACACTTGCTCTATCCACTTCAAAGTAAATTAGTGACATCATAACACACCACCCCTTACCCTTAACATACTTTTGCCCTGAAAGTCATTCTCGATGGTCCTCCTGCTCCAGCCGCATGTCAGCCATGGGAACCGTAGGCCTGATGTGCACAGCTCAGCTCTGCAACTCTACAATCAGGGCTTTTATAAAGAATCATGGAAAACCCTCAGATTCTGTCAGGGTGAAACCATCTTTCCTACAGTTTTCCAGAATGTAGCACAATCCACTCACAAACCTGGGATCTCTTGGGTCTGGACACGTCTAGGGCAGTAAGAGGACTGCTACAAGTGGAGACCACTGCAGGATGTCCCAACCACAGGAGTTTAGGCTGCCGTGTTCCCTTGCAGCTCTCCCTCGATAAGAATCTCATTGACTTCGGCAGCTATGTGGTGGGTGAGACCACATCCCGGGTCATCACTCTGACTAACGTTGGTGGCTTAGGCACAGAGTTCAAGTTCCAGCCCATAATCGAGTCCTGTGAGCAGAGCAACTCCATGAAAGATGTGAGTAAGCCAGCTGGGCCGGCCTGCAGGCGAGTTGAAGTTTGGGCTGAAGCTCATTGGAGCCAGAACCAGGATGGAGGCTAAGGGGGCTGACCTGGTATAGAGGGTGCGGAGAAAAAACTGTACCTGGGACCACCTCAAAGCAATCGGGTAGGAAGAGGGTCTGTCCCAAAGGCCAGCTGAGGAGGAAGGAGTAAGCTTGGAGTGACCCAAGTGGGAACCTGAGAGGCATGAGGTGGTAGATTCAGGGCCCAGCCACTGGGCTTCAAGGTGGGGTCTGTGATGCCTGAGACTGTCTGGGACGGAGAGGGAGGCTGTGCTGTCTGAGCTCCAGACAAGCCCTGTGGGTCTGTAGCCCTGGGCAGGCAGAATGTGGGCAGCGCAAGCCACCACCAGAGGGTGAGACCCTGCTGGCTGTAGGGACAATGGCATTAAAGTGAATGAGGAGAGTCCCTGAGAGCACATATTTTGTTCTCTTTTTAGAGTAGTAGCTACACGTATGATGACAATAATATTTATGAGAAAATCGTCAGGCCCAGTATCTCCGAGAACTTGTTTGAGGTCCCTGAATCCTTGCCTGGGGAGACTGGGAAGACAGAGAGCAAAGAGACCGAGGAAGGGCACCACGCAGGTGAGCTGACCCCACCAGTCATCCAGCACATGGCACTTGGTCATCCAGAGCACAGGAGCCTGGCCACCCGCCTGCCCCCAGCTTCCTGAGTGACAATGGGGACATGCCTCCCCTCTCCCCCTGGCTGTATATGACAGGCTGATAGGAGGAGTAGCGGCAGGCCTGAGGGTCCCAGAGCATCGTGTCTCTTGAGTCCTAGGCGCTGGAGTTCTTCCCAAAGACAGTGAGTGGTGGTAGTAATAAAGCTCAGCATTGTGGGATTTCCCAAGGCTTCAGTTTTCAGTGTTGGTAATAAGAAAATGCTCTTATGTCTGTGGAGTGGACTAAAACTTGCATTAATAGTTAACAGAAGACTTGGGAATGACTAAGCCCAATCAATCCACATGGGGGTTACGCCCCTCCACCAACCCAGGCCACCACTGGGGAGTTAATGTGTGGCTTGTATATTGCTGTGATGCTGGAAACGTTGCCACTGGTATTGGCCATTTTGAATCAGATCATCATTTTTTGCTGTGCCAGAAATGACAAATTGAAGATGAATGGTGCCACGTTCATAGCCAACAAGAACATTTCAGGATGATCTGTCTTGAAGTATAATGCCATCAGTGATAGGGTAATAGCCATCCATCTAGGATAACATCTAAGGAAGACCAGTTAATACAACCATTATTCAAATTTGTGCATAACCACTAAAGCCAAATGTGAAGAAATGGAAGATTTCTACCAACTTTTGTAGTCAGAATTAATCAAACATGCAATCAAGAAGCATTGGTAATTACTGGTGATTGAAATATGAAAGTCAGAAACAAAGATGGATCAATAGTTGGAAAATATGGCCTTGATGATAGAAACAGTCCCAGAGGTTACACAATAGAATTCTACAAAACCATTACAATAGCTTTTTCAACATCATAAATAGCAACTATACATGTGGGTCTTCCCAGATGGAATACACAGGAGTCAAACTGTTATTGGTAGGTGCCACCGAGTCAGTTCCTGTTCATAGTGCATAGGGCTGCACAACAGAATGAAACATTGCCCTTCCCGGCTCCATCCTCACAGTCATTGTTACATTTGAATCCATTGTTGCTGCCACCATGTTAATCCATTGCGTTGAGTGTCTACCTCATTTTTGCTGACCCTCCATTTACCAAGCATGATATCCTTCTTCAGGGACTTGGCCTTCCTAATAATATGCCCAAAGTCTGGCCGTCCTGTCTTCTGAAATGCATTCTGGCTGAACTTATTTCAACACTGATTTATTCATCCAGCAGTGCTTGGTACTTTTAATATTATTCTCCAACACCATAATTCAAATGTATCTATTCTTCTCTGGTCTTCCTCATTTACTGTCCAACTTTCACATGCATATAAGATGACTGAAAATACCATGGCTTAAACGAGTAAATATATGCACACCAGTATTTATCACCAGTACTATTCACAATAGCAAAAAGATGGGGACAGCCTAAATGCCCATCAGTGGAAGAATGGGTAATTTTTGGTACATATGCACAATGGAATACAATGCAATGGTGAAGAATAATGATGAATCTGCAAACACCTCTTAACATGGATGAACCTGGAGGACATTATGCTGAGTGAAATTAGTCAATCACAAAGACAAATATTGTATGAGATCACTATTGTAAAAATTCAAGAAAAGGTTTTCATGCTAAAAGAAACCTTCTTTGATATTTACCTGGGTTGGGAGGGAAGGGAGAGTAATTTACTAGCAAAAGGGTAGACACATGTTAGCTCGGTGACAGGGAAGCAATATATGGACAGAGGGAGATTGGCAGAAGAATTATAAGACAGGTGAAGACAAAGGGGATAAGGATAGAGAGCTATCTATACAACCTTGGAACACCAGTGTTCTGTAGATAGATACATGAACAGATAGATACATGGGCTAAACGGGTATGGGAAGAAGACTTGAAGTATACCAACAAATATATAAGGATTTGAAAGAGGCTATTTGTACATGGGTATTTACCTTTGTGGCAAATACAAGTGTAAATGTGGTGGAGCATACAGCAGGTAAAATGAAGAAAACTTTTTTGGTGGTGGTGGTGGTTATGTGCCATGAAGTTGGTTCTGACTCACAGCAACCCTGTACAGGGTTTCTGAGGCTGTATATCTGTACGGGAGCAGAAAACCTCATCTTTCTCCAGCAGAACAGCTGGTAGTTTCGAACTGCTGACCTTGCCCAATTCGTAACCACTACACTACCAGAGAGGTGCTGTCAAATCGATACCAACTCACAGCAACCTTACACACAACAGAACGAAACACTGCCGGGTCCTGTGCCAACCTTACAATAGCTATGCTTGAGCCCACTGCTGCTGCCACTGTGCCAATCCATCTCATTGAAGGTTTTCCTCTGTTTCACTGACCCTCCACTTTACCGAACATGAGGTCCTTCTCCAGGGCCTGGTCCCTCCTGATGACATGTCTGAAGTATGAGAGACGAAGTCTGGCCATCCTGTCTTCTAAAGAGAATTTGGGTGTTCTTCTTTCAATAAAGATTGGTTTGTTCATTTGGCAGTCCATGGTACTTTTCATATTCTCCTCTAACACCATAGCTCAAATGCATCGATTCTTCTACGGTCTTCTTTATTCATTGTCCAACTTTCACATACATATGAGGTTATTGAAGACAGATATAACCAAACTTTTAAGACAATAAGTTAATGGGCCTGGGGGCTCAGGACCACAGAGGACACTATGGTTAATTGGTATAACATAGTCCACAAAGACAATGTTTTACATCCTAATTTGGCGAATAGCATCTGGGATCTTAAAAGCTGCCATCTAAGGTGCAACTATTGGTCTCTCCATGTGCAGAAGAAAGAAGAGTGATGAGAATTGAAGATGCTAATCCAGTGGACTAATGGATCAAGTGAACATCAGTCTCCACGACTCTGAGACCAGAACTAGATGGTGGCTGACTGCCACTACCAACTCCTCTAAAAGGAATCATATTAGAAGGCCCTGGATGGAGTGGGAGAAAATGTGGAGCAAAACTAAAATTTATTTTTTAAAAAAAGGCTGGGTTTACCTGTCAAAAAGAGACTCTGGCCCTTGACCACCTTTCAGGTCTGGAAATGAACTCACCTTGTGGCCCAATATTCAGCCAAGCAGTAGATAGGTATATAGGGGACAGCTGTGGAATGGTCAATCATTCAAAATCAAAACAGTGACATTTACTTAAGGACAAAATTGAGAAGGGATGGGAAGGTGGGAAGGGATGGGAAGGTGGGTGGAATGAAAATAGGAACCACAGGAAGGAAGTGGGATAACGTTGCATGAAAGAGATTGCAATCATTGAGCTAAAACATTGAATGTAAAACTGATGATCTTCTCTGTAAAACTGATGATCTCTGTAAACCTTCACTCAATTCACAATAAAAAGTTTAAAAAGAAAATACTATGGCTTGGGTCAGGCGCACCTTAGCCCTTCAAGTGATATCTTTGCTCTTGAACACTTAAAAAAGATCTTTTTGCAACAGATTTACCAAATGCAATATATTGTTTCATTTCCTGACTGCTGTTTCTGTGAGTGTTGACTGTAGTTCCAAGCAAATGAAGTCTTGACAACTTCAAACTTTTCTCCATTTGTCTGATGTTATTTATTGGTCCAGTGGTGAGGATTTTTGTTTTCCTTACACTAAAGTACAATCCATACTGAAGGGTAGTCTTTGATCTTCATCAGTAAGTATTTTAAGTCATCTTCTTTTTCTGCAAGCAAGGTTGTATCATCTGCATATCACAAAAGAATAAAACACTGCCCCATTTTTTTGTGGTGTTCTGGAATACTCATACTTCGCAGTGTTGTCCACAGTTTGTCATGATTCACACAATCAAAAGCCTTTGCGTAGTCAATAAAGCACAGGTAAACATCTTTCTG